GTTAAAATGAGATGCAAAAATATCAGAGACCTACTGTAGTTAATGTGAAACTGTCAGTCACCAAGGCTTGCTGTGTAATACAAAGATACATACTTGCTACACATTTCTGTTATATAAATATGCACAACTGTGATATTTAGGTTTATACTTAGACATCTATAAAACATATCCTTTGCCAGCCAACACTGAAGTTCTGATTTTTCTCTGCACTCTCCTTGATGAACTTTCTTCCCTGGTAGAAATGGAAATTCTTCCTTCCAGGTAATACTTTCAAAGGACCTGGATATGTTCTTTTTTTCTCTCATACTCTACATGTCCTCCATCACAAACCCTTCTGAATCTACCTGGTACTATATTCAGAAATTAGAACTTCTTTCTACCCCATGCATCAGGCATCACTTACTGTATCATGAAAATGAAAATGGTCTTCCAGTTGGGTTCTTGCCACCCACATTTTCTCGTCCCACTCCCAAATTATCATTTTATAGTAGAAATTAATAAGTGTCTCATTGTTCTATTCAGTACCCTGCAATGACTCCCTAATTCTTTCAGAATAAACAATAAATCTTTGCAATAAATCATTAGCCTCCAGGAACTAGTTTTTAAATATTTATTTGCCTAGACTGGGTCGGTCTTGTTCTATAGCCAAAGCTGGCCTGGAATTCACGCTTCTTCTTCCTTATTTTCTAAGTTCTGGGGCTTTACAGGCAAGCAGGACCATCCAAGAAGGGGGGGTGATTTCTAGGAGTGCTCTGTGTTTTTTTTTCTTGCCAACTTTCCCACCCTTTCAAATTTGTCACCATAGCTTACTTGAGATCCATTATCATGACAGGTATCCTTTTTGACCTAACTCTCATCTGCATGGGATGCTCTTTCCTCAAAGCAGTAAAATTAACTTTTTAAGGTCTTGAACTAATTCAAATTATATTACACTTACAATTTCCCCCATCTTTTTCCTCCTTCCAAACCCTCCCATGCACTGCTCTGCTTGCCTTCTTTTCATTTCACAGCCACCTTTACATACTCATTGTGTGTGTGTAAATGTGTGTGTGTGTGTGTTTGTGTGTGTGTGTGTATTCCTAAATACTGAAACACAACCTTCTCAGTCTGTGAAATGTTATTTGTATGTAACCATTTTTCAGGGCTGATCATTTGGTATTGGATAAACAATGACATGCTCTTGATCCTTTTTTTCTCTGAGGTTCTCTCTGAGCATCCTGTTTTAACTGCTCGCAAACACCTGTATCTAACACACCTTTGCTCCTTGCTTTGTTTTATTCTCTTCTTTTTCCCTCAACTCAGAATCTTCTAACTTTATTATTTACTTTTAGCTTACACTTATAGCTCTTCCCCTATTCTGCCCTTGTTCTCTTCTTCTTCTCATGGAATGTGAGATTCAAATATGTATGGACTTTCATTTTGCTCTTTGATTTACTTTAGTGCACAGAATAGGACTGGTCATTCCATATGGTCAGAAAATATGTGTTAATCGTTTGGGCTTATGACCTGGCCAAATTGATCTTTCCATGACTCAACATTCTGTTTAGAAAACACAGACAGAGTCACATGCAAATGTATATACGAAGAAAGAAAATTCAGTAGAAATTTCCGGAACACTCATTCATCCTCCTTATCTCCTTCCCTGACTTCTCATTGCATCACTGCAGCTGGTAATACACTCAGAGAGCTTATAAATCCAGTGAGATGATGCAGCTCTTCTATTTTCTTACTCTCTATTCTCATTTTTAATTTCACCCTTTAAAAATAACACTGTTCAGTCTGGCTGAAATTTGGAAGGAGAAGCATGAGTCAGGATGTACTTCCTTTGGGAGAATTTGGGCAAATGGAAGATGAACTGGTGCATAACGGGAAGCTGTAGAGCTTCTGTTAGCAAGCACACGTTACAGGGATGCATTTGCCCATTGCAGCTTCAGAAGCTGAGGCGAAGACTCTCCATAGGCTCATCTAGGCTGTGGGTCACTCTGTCAGCATCTCTTCAATGATTTTGAATGAGATGAGCATGGCCTAGATAATATACACAAAATATTATAGCTTAGGATTTTTAACTGAGTACATTTTAAGTCAACAAAGGAGTTGATCTCACCAATTATCATGAGACGGGCATACATTTTTGCCCTTAAAAATGCTAGGGGACAGAAAGTGATTTTCATGCTGCGACATGGACTGGGTTAACTGGGGTAGAAGACCCACGATCATGGCCGTGTGCTCTCTTCATTTATTCAGACCTCATCTACTCTTTGGGTGACAACAACACCCTTCTGTCTCCAAGCTTGCATAAAAAGTTCAACATCATCTGTCCTTCCTCTGGAAGAAACACTTTAAACAGGATAGGTCGGAATGTGATATTTGAAATGAAATAACAATACTGCTTGTGTACAGAGCTGAGTGAGGTCAGTGGACAGCTGCGCAGAAGTTAGTGTCTCATTAAAGCCACTGACTTACAAAGATCACCAATTTCTAAGGCTTTCCATATTCATGTAACTAGAAAATATAAAATGTGACCTTATATAAAGCATGTAGATAGTATCTCATATCAGAGACAAGATCTCTGAATTATTCATATTTTAGTTTCTCTTGTTATCACTATTATGCACTTCTGGCAGAAATTGATGTGGGATTCCCCTCTGTATGCTGTGAATACGTTTGGATAATAAAGGAACTAATTTTGGCCTATAGTAGAGCTTTAGGGGAAGAGACCTAGGTGGGGAAAACTAAGCTGAATGCTGGGAGAAAGGAGGTGGAGTCAGAGAGATGCCATGTAGCCCTGCCAGGGACAGATGTTAGAACTTTAGCTGGTAAGCCACAGCTACATGGAAATACACAGATTAATGGTAATGGGTTAAATTAAAATGTAAGAGTTAGCTAATAAGAAGTTAGAGCTAATGGGTCAAGCAGTGATTTAAATAATAGGATTTCTGTGTGATTATTTCTGGACTAAGTGGCCAGGAACCAACAAGCAGCCTCCCTCGTTACAACAAGAAATAGTAGCTAATATATTATAAACGTCTCTAAAATTAGGGGTATATTCTGTCAAAATTGTTTGCTGTCCTATTTATATATAAACTGTGTAGGCTGGTAGCAACAACATTCTCAAAGATATAACATAAATGAACAGGATGTTCCTCTTTCTCCTGTTGTAAACATAATCAGACTTTAAAAAGTTATGGCTGGGCAGTGGTAGCATGCATCTTTAATCCCAGCACTCTGAAGGCAGAGGCACTCAGCTCTTTGAATTCAAGGCCAGCTTGGTCTACCGAGCAAGTTCTAGCAGAGCAGGGGCTACACAGAGAACCTCTGTGTCAAAAAATAGACAAATAAAACTTATAATCTGTAGCTCCTCTGAACCATAGCTAACATAAACTACAGTCACTATGAACTGTAAAATACCATTTGCATGACTGCCAACTTATTAAGATGATGGACAAATGAACTTATTCATGATAGAACATTTTTCATGGGCTACATAGCTGTCTCAAGTGGCTGCCTGTGGATCTCCACTAAACAACTTAGAAACTTTGAAGTTTGCATGTGGGGGATGTCAGACAGAGGCACACATGCTATCTTTCCTTTATTTATTTTTATGTGTTTGTGACTGTATGCATGCATGCATGTAAGAAGAGGGCATTAGACTCCCAGGAGCTGGAGTTGTAGTCACTGTGAGTCACCTGATATGCGTATTGGGAACTGAACTCATGTCTTCTGCAAGAACAGCAAGGACTCCTAACTGTTAGGTCATCTCTCACAGCCTGTCTTATAACAAATTTTAAAAGTGATTTTCATGAACTTTCATTTTACAAAATATGAAATGAATTGAATTAATGTTCAGAGCAAAATAGTCCCTCATTATAATGTGTGAAATTGACTGAGAAAACTAAATCAGTTCACTAGGTTAGCATCAAATTGTAGTTTCATGTACTTTTCAAAGACAAAATATCTCACAATGAAACATATTAAGTCCTAATAAAAATCAAACTTGATAATTAGAGTATTTAAGATTTAGGAAATTATATGTGATACTATATTTTATAGAAGCATTTTGCCTTTCTAGTCTGTGTAAATTCACACAGTCATGAGGAAGGCATGAGGTTAGGAAGAGGACTTCCTAAGAAGAGCTTTAGTGGGACAGGAAGTGGGAAAAAAGAAGGTGTGGGAGGGGAAACAACTAAGTTATATAATGCATGAAAGTGTTAAACCCAGAAAGACAAAGTTTCTTCCTAGATTTACAAAAGCCAATAAACATTAATTTCTAATATTCCTGTTTGTGTGCTTTGCAAGGAGAATTATTTCAAGTGTCTGTCCCAGTTAACTCTCACTCGCTAATAGTATCTTGTGATCACATCTAGTACAGTGTGGCCTTCAGAAGGGACAACAAACTGAGAAGAGATGGGAATCTTCTGAGCATAGAAGGAAAAGTAGCACTGAGAACTGAGGGTTTCCCTCATTGTTCAGCTATTGCTCACAGTACTACCAGCACAGTGCCCACATTCCCTGAGCAAAGTTAGTAGACACATGTGATGGTACAAATTGCTCCACCTCTCTGATCACATATGTATATGTACACATATATCTAAAGACACATTCACTTATGCACATGTAATGCCCTATACATACATACAATCCATATTCATATAGACATATACACACATATACTCCATAAACACAGGTATACAGATATATACACACAAAAATACATACACACACATGTACCAAGCAGACTATATGCATATACATATATATACATATACATATACATATACACACAAATATATTCCATACAGACACACACACATATATAAATGTTGTCTTTGCTGACAGCACAAATACACTAGGTAAAGTAGGCATCCCAAATAGCAACCATTCATAAGCCCAGTATTTGCATTTGCGTTTATCTTTTTCTTTTTTGTCTTTCCCTGTCAAGGAACAGAAATATGAATCTGTGATGTCTGGATCACTCAAGGTAGAATCAACAGATGGCTTACCTGTCTATGATGGCGCACATGTCAATGGTGACATTTGCAAAGCTTCCTGGCTTCCTCTGTGCCACTTCATTCAAATCTACAAGCTGATCATCTATCTGGATGAGCTGCATGCATCCTTGGAATGATGGTTGAAGGACAGAGTGACTGGCATTGTTCATGTGATTCAAAAATCCTGTGAAACAGAAGGAACAAGAAGATCACAATGGGCATCCAGCAAGCTTTATTAAAGGCCTCCCAAGTGTTTGACCAGACACAGTCATCCGACTACTATTGGCATTTCTTTGATTCTTGCTAACATAGTACAGGTGTGCTACCTCTTGAGCATGTGAGATTATTTTAGGCAAGAGTCAGGCTCAGGGGGTGGTTTGACTGAGAATTGCCCTTATAGGCTCACATATTTGAATGCTCATTTCCACAGTTGGTGGAACTATTTGGGAAGGATTATGAGAGTACACTTATTGAAGTAGATATGGCTCTGGGCGTCCCCTAACCCGAATATGGCTACTTTTCCAATTTAAACTGGACTTATTAGTCTTAAATTATTTGCTAATCCATTCTTTCCAGTACTGTATGGTTGACAATAGACTACCAATACCTTAAAAAGAGTGAGAATCAACATATGCCATTAAATGAATAAAAGTGAATACTAATATTTATTAGAAAATAATCAGATTTTGGTCATTAAGTGATTCTTTAAAATGTCCTATTTTGGTTGATATAGTAATAGTTGACTACAATGAAGACCCCTTTCCTCATTTCCTTAATAGGTGTCAATATATAAGTTCTAAAAACTGTCATTTGAGGTTCCTTTAAGGGGTCATCTCAGAGGTATACGTTATTTTCCACCAATATAGCACTAGAAAAAAAGGATTATGGTAATTCCTGACTTAAAATGACATGCTCTGTTTCAATACTGTTACATGATTGTGTGAGTTTGTGTGTGTATGTGAGTGTGCATATGAATGCCTGTGTATGTATGTACTCATGTGTTCCTATGCTATGCATTTTCATCGGCATTGACTTAGTCCCTTTACAAAATGCTGACTTTTGGATAAATTGTCTACTTAGAATAGTTGTATGCACACAATGTGATTTCCACTTAACTAATCATGATAAAACTGAGTAGGTTTTAATGGCTAAACTTAGCAGACAGAAAACACGCAGCTGTAACTTTTGTGGATGCTCCTTGCAATGCTATCATTGGGTTCAGCTTTTGTGAATACTTAGGACTCTAAACATCCACATTCACTTGGAAAGATTTTGAAATGAGTAACTCTCTTTATGAGTGAGAATGCCTGTGAATCAGAGCAGCTGCACAAATGCTCCTCGCTTCCAACTGGGTGTGATTAAGTTCCCAAAACAAGACTTCAGCAACCATCACAACAATGTTCTGTTTGGGCTTGATACTTTTGGAGTCTGAAGTTGTCAAGTCTTTTCAGGCTCTTACATGAGATCTATTCTAGGAGAAGATAATTATAGGAATAATCATTACATAGCCATCGAAAATAGTTATGGTTCTTGTGTTATCCTTAACGCTTTTAAGAGCGATCCTATTTGCTCTTGTGTGCAAGCTTCTACACTCTTCTATAGCATCTTTGGACTCCGAGTTTGGCTTATTTCTGTAGAAAACAAAAAACTGTGAAAGTGGTATTAGCTTGTGATTTCCAAGGCCCATTTCTAATCTGCTATGTACAACTGCTCATGTTGGCCAGCAGGGCGTGTTGTCGGGAGGCCTATGAGAGATCGTGGAAAACTTCCATGACTGAAAAGGTGTTGTGAGGCTTGAGAGGAGTGGGAAGAAGAGTGAATTATTGTTATCCAACAAAGCAATGAGTAAATAACCTCTAGCTGGAAACAAATTACAATAACATCCCCAAGGAAAGTGCAAGTTTGCTTAAAGAGCCTTCAGAGAATTGCCTAATGTCTCTCAGGGAGGCAGTCACTAACAATATAAAGGAAAGGAGTAGAAATAGCAATGAAAGCACCTGGGATCCTTATGGGTTGTAGGACAAAATTTATTAATGTTGTGGTTGTCTTAGGGTTACCATTGCTCTTATGAAATGCTATGACCAAAGCAAGTTGGGGAGGAAGGAGCTCATTTGTTTTACACTTCTAAACTACTGTTCATCAGTGAAGGATGTCAGGACAGGTAATCAAACAGGGAAGGATCCTGGAGGCAGGAGCCGGTGCAGATGTCGTGGAAGAGTGCAGTTGATGCCATGAAGGAGGGAAGCTTACTAGTTTGCTCAGCCTGCTTTTGTATAAAACCCGGGGCTACCAGTCTAGTCCAAGGATGGCACCACCCACAATGAGCTGGACCTTCCCCATCAATCACTAATTTAAAAAATGCTATACAGTCCCATCTAATGGAAATATTTTTATTGCTTGAGGTTCTCTCCTTTCAAGTGACTTTAGCTTGTACCAAATTAATATAAAACTGTCCACCACCAAGGACCTCTTATCAACTTGACATACAAGCAAATCACTGATAAACCCTAACTTTTCCTCTCTTGTTAATCCTAAAGATTATACATTAATATTAAAATCACAACATAAAATTAGGAATCATTTTCAAACTTAGAAATCCCACAGTCTTATAAATCCAAAAATATTAAAAATTCAGTCTCTTTCAAAAACCCAAAGTTTCTTTTAAAATCCAAAGACTGTCAGCAATGACTCCTATATAAAATACAAACATACTTTCTTTAAAAGGGTAAGAACCAGAGTGTAGTCACAACATAACAAAGCAAAACCAAACTCCAACCATGTAAATAGCTCAAAATTCAATGCCTGGATCAACTCACAATTTTCTGTGATTCTCAAAGGGCTTGGGTAACCTCTCAGGCTCCACCCTTTGTAGCACATACAATTTGTCTTCTAGGCTTTGGCTGTGTCCACTCCACAACTGTTACTGTTGTTGGTGGTCATTCCATGGTACTTGCATCTCCAAATAAAATGATGAGGTATTTTGCTGCAACTGGGGCTGTACTTACACCAAAAGCTTCTTCTGAGCTTTCTTCAGGGACTCCAGCGCTGCCACCTATTGCCAGGTCTCAGCAGCCCTCCGTGACCCCTTCATGCTTTCAAAACCATTACCAACTAGGCGACTTTTAAACTACCAGGTTTGACTGTCCGTGTGAGCTACAAACTTGGCTGCCTCTGGAACACAGCTTCCCTGTGCCAATACTAAGGCACCAAGTTGAGAAGATTTCAGTTCAGTGATGCTGCACTCTGCTCAGTTACCATGAATTTCTTGCTCCACCTACCCAACATCAACTGTCCCAGCAAAGCAAAAGTTTTACTTCAGTGGTTCTAGTCTCTTGTTAATCCCAGTTGATTTCTTCAGCCCCAGCTGACCAGACCACAGATTCCTCCTAGAAAAGGCCTGATAGAGTCTTTGCTTCCCTCTGAAACTTCATCAGCCAGGCCTCCATTGTCTGCACTGAACTCAATATTCTTATCTTCTAAGCTCCCACAGAACAACTTCTCAACACTTAATGGCTTTTCTAGGCTCAAATTCCAAAGTCCGTTGACAGTTCTCCCCCAAAATAACATGGTCAGATCTGTCACGGCAACACTTTATTATCCTGGTACTGAGTTGTTCTAGTTAGGGTTGTGGTGTTTCCTCAACTTGGGGAGGAAAGGGCTTATTTGTCTTACACGTCTAGATTATTGTTCATCATTGAAGGAAGTCAGGACAGAAACTCAAATAGAGTAAGAACCTGGAGGCAAGAGCTGACACAGAGGCCATGAAGGAGTGCTGCTTACTGGTTTGCTTAACCTGCTTTCTTGTTGAACACAGGGATACCAGCACAATGATTGCACCACTCACAGTGGGTTGGCCCTTCCACCATCAATCACAATTAAGAAAATGCCCTACAGCCTTGCCTACAGCCCCAACTAACGGAGGCATTTTCTTAATTAAAGTTCTTTTTTTTTTTCAGGTGACTTGACATTGTATCAAGTTGACATGAAACTATTCAACATACTGTCAATGATAACATACAAATAAGAAGTACTTAATCCATTGTAAAATCTAGTCAAGAGTGTTTTCAGCATAGTGCTGAAAGGGTTATTGGCTAATCTATTTCAATTTGGAGAAACACATTGCTGTGTCTGGGAAAGAGTAAGCCCTGCCCTGAGTGGACAGCACCCTCCCAGAGGCTGGGAAGGGGAGCAGATGAAAAGGGAATCCAAGCAGATGTTAGCAGGATTCTAAGTGAACTGATAGGCTTCCACGGGCAAACACCTGTGTAGCTAAATATGAGTCTCTCCCTTCAAGTTGTGTGGCTCAGGTATTTCATCCTAGTGATGAAAAACTGAATAACAAATCCTGAAGCAACCTCTTAGCTATAAAGAGGGCAGGGTGTGATGGACCTCAAAGCCAAACTTGTCTCAATTCCACTTTACTCGGACAGTGAACAATATAATAACAAAGAGATAACTTCCAATGATCAAGTACCAGGACCTGTCATCTAGTGATGACCGGAAATCATTTTCAGGACCTTAGAGAGATGTGCTATAAAAAGATCCATGAGAGAAAAGAGCTTCCTCATGCACCTCCCAGACCTCAGACAAGAGCATTTCTTTGATCTTACGGGTATTTTGCTCAGAAAGTCAGGAGCCCAGAGGTAGATATCTTCATGAGACTACACATGTGCTTTCTAGTAAATGATTGCCTTTGAAAAAGTATATTCAGTGTGTGTGTTATAACCACACCATGATTGAGGCCAGAGGACTATTTGCAAAGTCAGTTCTTTTCTTTTACCATATGGGTCCTGGGGATCAAATTCTTATTTTCAAGCTTAGCAGGCTCATTTACCCAGCCAACCATCTTGCTAGCCCTGTTTGCATTTTAGAAACAGTGCCTTGAACTCCTCACATTCCTACCTTTCCCACTTAAATGCTGTGGTATAGTGTTCTACTTCTGTTGGGGAGTACTGTTTTAAGCTGTGTTGTTTTTGTTTATGCAGCATTTGTTTAACTCTGTGAAACTGTGATTCTTTGTCTGTCTAAAACACCTGATGGTCCTAATAAAGAGCTAAATGGCCAATAGCAAGGCAGGAGAAATGATAGCAGGGACTGGAAAAAGGAGAACATAAATCGAAGGAGAAATGAGGAAGAAGAGGAGCAATGAGAGAACAAGGGAAGGAGGATGTCAGGGGCAGCCAC